CATTGGATTTGTTACTCTTGTCTTCTCTTTCACATCAATTCGAAAAAGCGTAGAAAATGAAAAATTAACACTCGATTTATGCAATTTATGAAAAAGTAAAAAACTGATATATTTTGAGTGGCGAAAAAAATAGATTGCAATAATGTTTGGTACCACTGGCCGAGGCGCTTGCCCTCTCAAATCGGATTTCGCAAATAGTTTGGGTTCACAAACCGGTTCACGGCAATTTACAACACACACACAAACGAGCGGAGAATTGTTCGCGCGCGCAATACGGACCAACTTTTTGACAGGTTTGACTGTCTGGCAAACATACTCATACTTCTTCAATTAAGCTCGAATTAATCAAGATTGCGAGAAGCGAACAAACACATCCGCAAACGAGTAGAAATGTTTTTGACAAGGGCAAAAACGACCGTAAATAGATCGACTTCAGCAGTTTTCGGTGTACAGACACACGCACACACGACAGAACCGATTCGAACCGAATTCAACGGAACAACATCAAAAACAACGAAAAACCAAAAAATATATGTTGAAAATAAATAAATTAGTTTTTCCGTCTGATTCATGTTCATGTTTTTCCGTCTGATTCATACAGCAACCAGTTTCCAATCATAATGCAAGCGCAAAATATACAACATTTATAATGCTAGCAAATTTTCATATACATAATTTGTGTTTTGTGTTCTCATGCTTCTTGCTTTTTCCATGCAGCACGTTGGTGTTATTGGTGTAACGTACATATGGGGATCCGCGCGGGACGAGATGTGGGTTGGTTGATGTGTGATGTGCGGTATGCACTCACTCTCTCATTCTCTCTTATTCTCGTCACACACACACTCAAACATACACATGTGATATATGAGACTTCGTGAATAACAAATGCTTGTGGATTGAGAATGGTCGACAGCGTGCCATCGGTTTGATGAACGCTTTTGACTTGAAAGAATGAGTATGGGACCGTGAAATGCTTGAAAGAAAAAATCGAATAAAAAAATATACGTCAACATAAAAGTGAAAAAAAAAAAAATAACAACAACACACAACACCAGCGTGCGATGAGGAAAAATTTCGTTTTTCTCACTCCTTCGCAATTGAAAAATGTTCACCATGTTTACAATTTGCCCGCATTCCATTTATGCATTGTCATTACCGCACATCGGCATTGAGACGTATTTTTTTATGTTTTGGCACAAAAATTCATCAAGACGTTGAACATTATGCGGTGTGAATGAGCCGGTGCAAAAACGGCCCATCAACCATTTTTTGTGTTTTTTTAAAATAAAAATATTACTGAAACTAAAATTCTGAAGTTGACATATGCTTCATGCAATTTTCATGCAAGCGACAAGTTAAACATTTGCATTTTTGAAATTGTACACACACACAAATGCTACGAGGAGAGCAGAAAATGTATTGAAAGTGTTTCTCATCTTAGAAAGAGCTTATTAATCAAAAGAAAAAAATTTAAGCTCAAAAACATTAAAAGTTTACTTTAACATATGCAACGTGCAACCAAAAAGGCCAATAACAAGTGCATAAAAGCTGGTAAAGTTTAAAGAACCTAGTAAGAACCAATAGTTACGCACAATTCATCACCAAAAAAGGGTCAATCTTACACCATAGTTATATATTTTGCTATTGATTTTCGACATCAAAATCTCTCGAATTGCTTGTAAAGTTTGAGTGCAGGTCAAAGCAAAACACCGTCATGAGTTATTGTATGCCAGAAAGCCAATGAACGAGAATGCTTGTCACATTTTCCATATGGATCGTTCGAATAAATTTTTGAGATCTAGAATGGCAAAGAGAGTAGTATGTGAAAACTTAAGTTTGAAATGTGCGTCTAATGAGAATGATAATGGATCGTAAATGTGCACATAATAGAGTATGATGACGCACCTGAAATGATAATGCTACCGAAAAATTGAATATTTAATCGGAATAAAGAACCGAGCAAATATCGGTTGAAATCGGATTGGTGTACCGACCATAACCACAGCAAAACCAGAAAATGTCATGTCAAGATGGAAATTACATTAATTCCATTTTCGTTTGGGAAAAATGAATGACGAAGCTTTTGCAAAGAAAATTAACATGTTAATGCGTTTATGCAAAATATTTCTAAAACAGTTGATTGGCCGGAGTCAAAAACAATATCCCTTGTTTGCCGCTATATATCTATATATATATGTATATGAGGTGTACTTGCAATTTTGCAATTTAGAAAATAATTTAAATCGGTTTCGATCTATAGCTCGCATCATTGTACAAACGCAGCATCCCGATCCCAACCAAACTAACAACCACTTAATGAATTTTTTTTATTTCGACTTGCCGGCGAAGAGTGTCAATTGAAATCGGTTGCCTCTGTATGTTGTATGTACGGTGATGATACATGCCGTGTTTGCGTATGTGTTTGAAAATGCTTGCGTTTTCACACGTATATATATATCTCGAAAGTGCGGACGTTTTCTGTTTCGCTGTGAAAATGCTACAATTCAATGGATGATAAAATATTTAATTGAAATGTTTGTATGTATAATTATTATGCTGAGAATTTTTAACGCTTGTGTAAAATGGATTATTTAAATTATTGAAGCATCGTACGCAATTTGCGACTTATATAAAAGTTTCTACCAAATTTGTGTATAAAATCATCTACGATCAAACGTTTCCCTGATTAAATATATATGCATGCCATTAAAGCTGGTGAATTCGAAATATTACCATAGACAAATTTTTAGATATGCCGGCCTGTTAGAAAAGTATGTCTGCTGCGAAGTGATGGGAATATCACCATCAGCGAATATTTCGAGCAAATTTTCCGTAAATGGACTTAAGTTCAATTGCAAATGGACGATAACCTAGGGGTTTTTATCTCAATCAAAACACTGTGAATATTGCGTATATTTTGCGTATATTCACTGCGAATATTCGAAAAATATTCGCAAGATACGTACATTCAATGCATTATTTGTAAAATATGCATAGTATATGTACCATCAAATAATATATATTCGCGAACAGATAAATTCCCCTAGACGATAACTATATATATTATACATACACATTACACAGCTCCCTGTTCAATATTATAATGTTGCTGGTAAGTAACAAACTTCTCAACCAAGAGAGATGGTTCGAGGTTGGTACCGCCAATTTTATGAAGTTTGGGATCGAAACATCGACGGACCTACGAAATACTGACAACCAAGAAAAATAACAACCAACATCCCCATCATCGACGTCGTACCCTCGTATTCAAGCGATACGTACATATATACACACACATACACACGAGCACAAGCACATTCATGTACATAAAAAAATGCGGGAACAAAAACGAGACGAACAGAGGCGAGAGCAAGAGAAAAAGCATAAAGTTTTCCGTTAAAAGCATCATAAATTTATATTAAATTATTATTAGAACATAAATTATTATTATCAAAACTTATATTATGGCATGCGCTTATGTATAAGCACATTGCCATTGCTGGTGGTGTATGGCGTATGGTGTTTGTCCTGTCACTTTATCTCTCGGCTTTCATTTTCTCTCCATTTCTTTTGTAAATATATTTACAGCGGCATCAGAGCATCAGCAGTAGTTGAGCAAATGCGACGGCGACAATGGCAGCGGAACGGTTATGATAGGAAAGCCACATACCAACGGCCATCATGTTACATACAAGGTCCGTATTTCTGTCATATATTTTTTAGGCATTTCAGAATGCTATACTATCGTATTTCAATGTCTCGCTATGGCAAAGGAAAATGGCCCGATGCCGTGTGTGTGTGTCTGTACACACGGCTTGTAATCAACATTTTCACCATTTACATGAATCAACTCTCGCCGTATATATTAATGCATACGGATACGAAGGATGCGTATGTGTTTCGTGTGTGCTCGTCTCTTACACTCTTTTTGAATTATTTTTTGTTGTTGTTTAAACTTTTCTACGGTGGATCTGATGGTTGCCTCTCTATGTTTATTATTCGTTAGTAGGATTGTTTTTGCTATGTAATTTTTAGCTGATTTGCAATAATATTGGTTGGCTTTAGCAAAATAATGTCCACTTCACGCACCGATCACAACATTTGTATAAAGTTAGCCACCATGAATGGTATGCACAAAAACCGAATTTTCTACTGTTTACCAGCGTTTATGTCGCCAGTTACCCGGTTTGCCACTGTTATACCTAAGCGTTTCGGTAATAACAGAATAACATTCATTTATCATATGCAAAATATAATGCGTGTTTGCTTGAAAATAGCGATGCATACATTGCTACGCCTTTTCTTTGGCTTGGCTTGGTTTGCTTCGGTAAATAGAGAGAATGAACACAAAAAATTATATATCTGAGAGAACACAATAGCAAAAGCAACGGACTATGGCATCGTTGACCAACACACGTACACAAACACCGATTGAAAACGAACCGAAAGAGTTGAATGAAACCTAATAAATATTCGCTCTTGTTTGATAGCTGACGTTTTCGTCTTTGCACATTTTTCATGCATAAACCAAATATGAATGAATTTTCAGTTTTTCTTTTGCCCGATTGGTGTGCGAGAGGGTGTGAGTAAGTGTGTGTGTATGTGTGTGTTTTGTGTTCAGCCGTAGAAGTCTTTGGCTTTAAAATTTAATGCTATTTCTGGGCTTGAGTTGATATATGCTGTGTGTATTCGATCCCCTGCCGTGTTCTTGAAATGGACCCACCATCATCCCGATGAATGGCAAACAAGAGATATAGATATACGACAAGCGCACCACTGTTTTGTTTTTGCTCTATTCATAAGAGTGATTTATTCGAACGCATTAATTTTCACTAATTATGTTTTGCAAAAGTTTTGTGTATGTGTGTGCCTTGGATAAAAGCATCGACATCGGCAGAATGGCCAAACGTCATCGTCAATCTACATAGACCGAAAAATAACCCATGTTCCGTACATACATAGAGCGAGCATGAATTTCAGTTGTCAACAGCTTTATCACTTTACATTTCAATTTTCGCTCGATACAATCGGGTACGTGGCGTAATATTACAAAATAAAATACGATTAATTAATAGACGACGATTGTAATTGAGTAAAACTAATTTAAATTTTTGTACAACGTTGCAAAAGAATTTGAATTCCAATGGTATTCTCTGTGTCAAATCATTCAAATAATGAACACCACACAAAAAGTAAAAGAAGAAAAAAATGCTCGAAAAATTATGAGAAATGGTAATCAGTTTGTGCAATTTTAAGTGTGATAGATATATATTTTTGTCATTTACGTAGTTTATCGGTTTTGGGTGTGTCTTCGAAGATCGAATGCTGCATATTGCATCGAAAATGTATGAAAAAGTAAACATGATGCATCTATCGATGCATTTATGTGATAAATATACACACACTTCTTTATTGGAAGAAAATTATTTCTGTATTGCGAGCATTTCAGTTAAATCATGCAACCAAAAGCATAGAGGGAACTCGGAACATTTATCAATAAATGAAACTTTGGTTGTGGCTGCTGCTGCTGATGCTATACCATGCCATCACGGCCGTTTTATATACTCTTCAGTATGTATACATAAAATATTGTCGTTAAAATGAAAATCGACACAATACACGGGAGCAAATGGTGAAACGAAGGGAAGGTGTCTCAAACCTCTCAAAACATATATTAAGCTATATCGATGGAATGGGAAAATTGGAAAATCTAAAGAGAGAAAATGACTGGGAACAAGAGAGGGAACAAGAGGTGATGTGATGCGGGCACCAATTGCCACAACGTTCCAGCATTGTGTGTTGTTTTGTAGAATGACAGCGACAGAGATATGGTTGCTTGGCATATACGATCAAGTTGAAATGAAATTTGAAACATAGTACACATTAGCCTGGGTGTAGTTATATGTGGCGTCAATTTAAATGGAATGAGTAAACTGGAACTTGGTTGGTTTGGGTTAAAAAAAAATGAAAGAATACGTAGTATTTGACGATATTGATGTTAAATTTGTCCCAGAAAGAAAACGACCAAGTGAGAGATTGAGAGACTAGAGGGTGGACACATGCAATTCAAAATATTCAAAATGAATATATCAAGCGTTCAGAAAGACATACATTTATGCGAGCAATTGAATGATGCTTGCATCATTTGATGCGCATCGATTGTGCTGTCGCCATACATTCGGATCTTCGGCAGCGCACGAAGTGCTCCGAACGCACAACGAAAGCACTAGCGATGCACATCAAATGATGCAAGCATCATTCAATTGCTCGCATAAATGTATGTCTTTCTGAACGCTTGGAATATATATTTTTCGTCCCGTTTTTTAACTTTTCTTTTCTGTTGTTAATCCATTAACTGAGATGTAATCTTGAAATCGAAATTGTGCATCGACAAAATTAATTGGACTGAATGCCAATGCCAGTCAGCATCAATGCAAAACATCACATCGATGTAAAGTTCCTTGCCCTTTTTCGTAGTTTAATTGAAAATTCAACAAAATAAAATTGAATGTGAACCATGTGGCAATAAGAATGTTTCATCAACTGTATTATTATTCGTGTGTATGTGCAAGTTTATTTTTGATTTTCCATGTATATTTAAATATGAAAATTTTCTTTTTCTCATGACCAAATTCGTATATCATATCAACAAATGTATGAAAAACTAAACCAAGCGCATACACACATGAAATTATATATCGTCTAATTTTAAATGTACTCATTTGGCTCTTGTTTCTCTGAGAAAATCACTTATGCCGGTTGGAATTCAAGAGTTCCGTTTGAAGTGTTTTCACAAAACGACTCGAAATTCGTGCAATGCGAGAGCTTTGCATGGAATAAAACAGTCGATGAATAGAGATAGAGAGAAATTATGAAGAAGGAACAAAAAAAAACCGTATGCTATATATAAAATGAAAGCAACTTACCATAGGTTGTTGTTGTGCTTCCTTCATTTGACTAGGTTGAGCTGCTTGTTGTTGTGGCTGTTGAGCTTGTTGAATGTGATGCTGTTGAGCTGATTGTTGTGGATGCGAAGGATGTGAGTGTTGCTCTAAGCCTGAAATGATAAACGATACAGAGCGTACAGTACGAGAGAGAGAGAAAGAGAAAAGGAGATTCAGTCATACAAAGTTTTTAATTGAACACTTGACGTTCATACTCCAGACATTCTAATTGGCAAATTTTCGGATGAAATGATCATTTGTTGCCAAGTACACAAAAGCACGAAATACCAAATACCAAATAAAATGTGTCGTTAGAATCGTATGTGCTTACCTGTCGTAGTTGGTGGAACTTGTGGTGATATCACTGCCTGATGCTGTTGAGGATATTGTGGTGTAGTCACTTGCGGCGGAGCACTTGAGGTTGGTGTTCCGTTGCTGGACACTAAAGTTGTTGCGGTTGCTGTAACAATTTAACGTAAAAAAAATATTTCAAATTGAAGAGGAAAAAAAATGTTCAACTTAGAGTCAATCAAAAATCATTGATGCTTTTAACAAGATAAAGTAAATGATATGAGAGTTGAGATGCAACGAAACGATAATATAGAAAAATATGGAATATACTTACGAGCAGTGTTTGGAGATGGATGTGGTACAGCTGCTGGTGCAGGACTGATCGATGAAGTAGTACTTGGCTGAGCTCGAGGCGATACGGCGGCTCCAGAATTTACCTTTCTTCCGCGTGAGCTCTGCAAAAGACGAGAGAAAATTTAATTTAGTCATGAGTTATAAACCGAATTAAAAATTTGTTTTACTTCGTTCAGCGTTTTTTTTTTTGCATATTATTTTTAGATCGACGCCATTAGTTGGCGAAAAAGAAAAGCAATATTTACTTAAATTAATTTGTTGAGTTGTTTTATCTCATTTTGAGAAATTTATTACTTTAATTAAAATCGGCGAAGGCCGACTAGCAAAAAGTTGTGCACCGCTCAGCCAGTGCGACAATCTTCAGATATATTTTTTTGTACACACTCACACGAGTGTTGTTTTCTTCTTCCTTTTCTTGCTCAAAACGTAATTAAAAACAATAAATTTCATCCTACACACACTGAAATCATACAATCTACTACTATTCTGAGAGTTCAATATACATTTTCATGTAAATGCTGTCGTCTTTGAATCTTGGTCGCGTTTCTTATGTCACAGTTCCAAACTTTCAAACCAGAAAACGTAGATCTGCTTAGCATTTTTCTTGTTCGGCGCGAATGGCGAGCGCAAAAACACACAAAAAAAAAATGAACGACGTAGATAACGGCAAAATGTTGAAAGAAAACAAAATATTGTAATAATAAATTTTAATCTGGACGTGTGAATATAATCGCACACTTTCTAACCAGTTTAATGGGTCGAAGTTTTTCCATTTTGATTGCAAATCACTCGTTCTGATTAGACGAATTATAAAGAATTCTCCCTCTCTCTCACACATTTATATTGAACACAACGAAAAATTCTTCGAAACCTTTCAATTCGACCATTCATGAAAGAAATCATATACATGAATTTCGTTAAAAATTAGTTTGGATGGCAATATTTTCTGCCTTTTCTAAAGCCGATGTGGCCACACTTTGACAACAAACGAAAAAAAGCACAAAAATGTCGACATCCATTAAAACCGTTAGATATTTTATCAAGTGAGAGAAGAAGAAGAAAAAAAAACTATTTAAATTATGTAAGTTGTTAGAAAGTTGCACATGTACAAAAAGTGCCAGAGCATACATGAGATATGTTTGTTTTCTTCCTCATGCAACGATGCGATGTGTGCGCGCGCGCTATTTGTTCATGTTTTTTAGCCGTCTTCCATTTATATGATGGTTTTTGTGTCTCTCTGTGTGTGTGTTTTTTTTTTGTTCGCTCCTTTCGCTTTGTTGTTGTCTCTACTTGAAATGTGCTTAGATTTATATTTGCAACGGTAACGACCATTAAAATTGTAATCGATGATGCACAGAGAAAAAAACACGTTGGCTCTGGTAAAATCTGTATGTATGGCTAGACCATGCAACACAAGCAATGGCCGTGATCACATACGCAAAACAACAACGAATAATGATTCACAAAAATAAATAGATTCATGAATTGAATGAAAGCATTAAATTTTGCGTGATAATCAGCAATAGTGCATCACGCTCTAGAAAGATGGTGAACAAAAAAAAAGTCGAAACAATTTTAAAAAGAAAACCATATGAAATGAATGCACACTCAAAACAATCGGCCAACTAGAAATAACAAAACGCTCAAGAAGTGTGGCGAAGTGTTGAGAGCGTGACAAAGAGCGGCGCAATTCAGTTTTCACCAGAGTGTACAAACGCAATATATGCAATGACCCAATGGATTAGAAGAGCAAAGCATACACTAAAAGTTTCAAAGTCGTAGTAATGTTGAACGAATCGAGATAAGCAAACAAAATGTTTGAAAATAAATTGGAAAAAAGAAAGAGAAAATAAGAAGGTACGTACACATGAATGAGAAAGAGATAGATAGAGAAGAAAAAGAAAAAGAGCAACATTGAGAGCAACGAGACCAAGAGAAGGAAGCCAGAAAAATAAACATGGTGAATTTCAGAAAAATGTGTACCTAAAAACAATCATTTTATTTGATTATGGTTTGTTGAATTCATCGTTGTCGTCGTCGTTGTTGTTTTTTTTTGCGCTCGTTGTTGTAGTTTTCGTTTTATTCGTACGACGTCTTATTTTGATTAGGTGCTGGTACTGACTTTCATTTGACTCCCAACACGTTGCAAAGTATCCATAAATTGAATATTTATTAAATTAAGTGCTTAGTGTGTCAGTGTGATGATTGTGCGGATTTTCGGTGTGCGCACATTCACATTTTTCGAATATTTTTTATCCATTAAAAAATAAGAAAAAAAACACGGCAAGCACAAAATGGAAGGATGTATAGTCATACGACACACACAAAGAGAGAGAGAGAGAGAGCGAAAAAAACACACAAAAAGCAACCAACATTAATTGGGATTTCAACCACAGCAAATGCGCTTTAATATACATATGTTAGCATGGAGAAATTTCATTCGAACAGTTGCAATGGATCGCTGATAGGTTTGTCCCTAAAATTACCAATTTTAAATTGAGACCAACATAATAATAGCACCAGATTCAACCTAATATAATCCATTCAAATTGGGGTGTTTATATCAACTCTCGTGGCACGTTTTTTTTCTTCTCAAATTGGCCATGTTAAGTGAATGAGTGTCACATATATGACATACATTTCGGGCAATAATAAAAATGAATGAAGCCGTTGTGATTTATTCAGACCAGTTTGTTGAATGCGTACTATGTACATGATAACATTCACTTTGGTTGATTGGTTATGTAGAAGGACCAACGCATGTAACGGATGTATTTAACTTCTTTTAATAACTGGTTTCTTTTTAGATTATTACATTTTTTTATGCCGAGTGAAAGTAATTTGTCTAAAACCTTCAGGGGCGTATATAGAGAATTAATTATCAAAGGGTGCTAAAATTTTGCATAGTCATAGCTGACAATTTTTTAGGAGGTATTGTGAAATAAAAATTGGGGGGGTTCTTGGAACTTTGGGGAGTTATGGGCAATCTTTGAATTCAAGTGGATTGGAGATTTTTTTTTTCGCTTCTTAATTACATATAACTTCAATTGTTTTCACCTTAAATGGAATTCCCTTTGAAATTTGACTTTCTCCATTGAAATAATGGACACGAATGAATTTATTTGTAATCCTGAAGGGATAAAAAACGATGGATTTACCGAGAGAGAGAGAGAGAGAGCGAGAATACTCAAAGCAATTGAGAGTGGCTAAAGAATTAGCTGTCGAAATAAAAAAAAACTGCAAGGCAAAAACAGGAAGATACCATTATTATTTTTTAAATAACTTGTCGAAAGTATGTGTTAAGCGCCAATTACACTAATTAAATGTCGACAAAGCACAATGATGAACAATTAAAATTTGCTAACTACTCAGCACATTCTTTTGAATCAATGCTCATCATCTTTCATTTCAGTTTTCGGCTAAAGTCGTTGCTTGGCATTTCATTTATCTGTTTTGAGCCGATTTCAATCCTTTTTGGAAATATGCTATGGCCTCTTGAGCTCATGCTTTCAGCAATTTCGCTAGCTTTGTGTGTATGCATACATTCCCACAACTGAATTAAGAGATGTTTTTCTCAATAAGTAAAAATTTCGTTGGTATCACATATGAAATGTATGAGTGTATTTCTATAGCTGTTTGTGTGTATTTTTTCCATAACGTTTAAGCACAATGATGCCATATTATGGTTGCGTTATGACGATTGAAATGAGTGCCAGAGACATTAGCAATTTTTATTGGCCTTGCGAGAAAAAGATTAAAAAAAAAAACATAACCACGGAAACGGTGTACAACCACTTGGATTTCAATGATTTGAGTGGTTTTTAAGTGCGCAGTTTCTTTGCTTATTCAGTTCTCACAATTGAAACTCCAATTTTTTTTAGCATCTCATTTTGCTTTCATTGCAATGCAAATCTCACTTTGCAGTGTTTTTATGGGCATTTTAAACTGAATATGATGCAAATACATACGGTTTTTACGATCGCTTCGCATAAATTCCCAATGTTTTTTTTAAAAGAGTTTGCCATTCATGTCCGCCATAGATCGTTAGACGAAACATCAAAACATGTTGAATAACATCAACATATATTCGAATATCCTTTCGCCACATTTCCGTGAGAATATTTGAATATGGGTATATGTCGATGGGTTTGCATTGCCAAAAACCATCTGTTTCGATGAATAAAAAAAATCGAATTAATTCGCCATGAGGTTTTCCAATTTAGTTTTATTTTCTTTGATTTTTTTTTGATTTAACAATTCAGCAGCTTGCACATCTGCGGCATGTGCAAGTAGATTTATTTATATTTGTTTCTCCTCGTAAAACCTTAAAATACGTTAGAATCAACATTTCATTTTTTTAATTTTAAGTGACATTGCGTCAATCCAAAACCAAAACCATATTGCTGTTCTTACGTTGGCTTAAGTATTTCGAAACTAAAGTGTCTTGCATTAACTTGAAAACTAATGAAACATAATTCTGTTATTCAAAGATCAAAAATAGTTCATTCAGTGTGTGTTTTTGTTATTTCGGTCAATTTGCTTAGAAATGCCCGAGGAGACTATCTCGCAGCATAATGTATGCATAGTTTTTATAGAAATTTTTTATTCGTACTTTTATGTGAATTATTGTGCTATCACTATTCTGGATGTGTGTACACCATTTGGAGTATGAACACTGAAAAATATTCGCATCGCTTGTAATACGGAATGACAAACAGAAAAAGAGAGAGAAGCGAGATGTGTGCGCGCCGTTGCGATCACAAAACGGACGGTTTTTTTCGTCGTCGAGCATTTCATGCATGCATGTTGGTCTCCTTTCGGGACAACGATCGCAAATCAACATACTGGCTGGTTGGCTTCAGTTGTATGCTCTCCATCGTGTTGTATACATATATAGAAACTGAAAAATCGCAGAGTGTATGTATAGTCTTCTTCATTTTCGTTTTCGGTTTCTTCTCCTTCTGTCCCCCAGTAACAAACAAACGAGATTTCATATGCATGTATGCGGCTTGGATTTTGTCAAGAGTTCAATGTTGAAATAGCGCGCGCGAACTATAGTTACATATATATACACAATACCATGCATATTATGCATCATATA